TAGGACAAACCTAGAAACATAATCGGGGCGAACCGGGATTCGAATCCACAAACACATGTTTCTGACGTGCCCAAGCGATGCAACTCTGCACAGCGAATCCTGGCGCCTTAAAGACGACTGGGCCACCTGGGTGGCCCCTTTTTCTGTAAAAACAAAACAAAACAAAACAAACAAAACAAGCAGTAAATGCATTAGGGAGAGATACAGGGTAAGTTGAAAATTTAACATTTTCAATGTGGCTACCATGGTGGCAATGTTTAGCATTTTTCAGGTTCTCACCCAACCACCTTTGCTTGGATAAACATTTCAGCTTAATAAAAACTAGTGTATTCAGTGAGTGAGTGAATAATAACTGCAAAGAATTGAGTCAGGACCTATTTTAGTTGGCCCTTACACAAGTTGCACACCCATTATGATCAGGAAGCTACACAAAATTTAGTACACTAAAAGTCTAAATCAACTAAAAAAAATTAAAAGATGTTGAAAAAGTGAAACTGTCAAATGGATGGACAGACAACAGATGTTGTGCCATGACTCCTGAATTTCTTCTCTATTTACTAGAGACACATTCCAACTACTGTGCCTCTAAGTAATCACAAAAACAAGGTACCATTTATCACAGATGCAGCATATATACATATATAGGGGCTTATCAGTGGCATCAAGCACAACTCAGCTAGGAGGCAAATGACAATGACACATGAACATGAAATCTAAGAGAGTACCTTCAGGGTAGGATATGAGCAAACCATTCACTGGGGCAGACCAAGTTAATTACTTAGTCTACAGATTTGTATCCAAAAACCACCTGTGGGCAAAAGGGAAAAACTAAAAATAAGTTTTGGATATAAAAACAAACAAATCAATGATGAAATTTATGACTGCATAGTGCCTATTACCATATTTTCTTGTACATAATACACACCAGAAATGGGCTTGACCAATATATATTTTTTATAATAAATGCTATTCTCTTATTACATGGGAAGTCTTTGCTGGAGCTAGCGGGACAGTTTTACCCAGTTTCAATGTACCTGTAAATGAGCTTATTTTTAAATAAAAGATTATCAGGCATATTTACAGAATTTTAAGAGAATGGGTTTGAAAACAACTAAAATGTGATGGATCTGTAAAAGAAGAAATTAAACAGGTCTGTCTGTAAAATATGTAATTGAAGAAATATTGAGAAAGATTCTGGAACCTAATTTTGGAAGCCACGATACAACGTGAAATCTGTTGTGGGGTAAGTTCAGGCCCAAATAGTCCATGCACTTAATAGTGGTCTTTAAGATCTTCTGGGGATCTCTCTGAAATTGATGAAGTTCAGATCAAATACTATGTTCAGTTTTGTTGGGAATTTGTTAGCTCTGGAAACATATGTGATTTGTTGAAGTGTGTAACATTGTTAACATCTGAGAATTGAAATAAAGATTCTGATACATTGTTGCATACTTCATGTGCCTGCAATGACATATATACTGTAAATCATGAAATTAATGCATCACCAAATTAGTGCGAGTTTAGTCCAGGGGTTTACAGAATATAGTTTTTCATTTTGCTGATTCTTATGTCCAATCAACTCATGTGTTTTTTTTGTCAGCTCATGTTTTTTTTTGTCAGTAGTTACTATGTGAAGCAGTTGTTTGTTTGTTGTTTAACGCCGCACTCAGCAATATTCCAGCTATACGACGGTGGTAAAGTGAAGCAGTTGAAGTAGAGTTTGTGATATTATTCAAATGAACTACTCTCACAAACTCTACTTCAACTGCTTCACATGTGATCAAAAGCAGGAAATTCCAAATATGGCATATTATGAGATAGGTCAGGTCACTGACGAAGATTGTACAGGTTCCACTGGTAAATGTTGTGACACAAGTTAGCACAAACATTCGAACTGCTATAAGCAGGCAGTGAATTCATGACAACTGCTGTTACTGTATTGGACATGATCACTGCATGGGTGAGCAGTGTCTAGCTTGTAATTATAAGATTATTTTACAAGGTTACCAAGAACAAAGGCTGTGTCATACATGGTTGGCGATTGTAATAACTTCTGTAAACAAACTGACCACACTTGCTGCGGAACTTGGTGAGACACACCGTCTCTATTTAGTGCTCATTAACATTGTTTATAGTGAGCTTTGTTATACAAGTCATTGTTTCTGTCCATGTGCAGTGAACCTGACATGACAATATACTCCAATACATCCAGATGAGATATACTCACACGCAAAAGAAACGCAAGTTGAGTATGCAGTATACATGTTATTTATTTTCAACAGTAAAGACAAGAAATACTAATAGGGCAAGATTGACAAAAATTTGACTGAAGACAGTTTTATGGATTAAAAGGTAGATGACATAATTGTTTTTTTCAAATGTTAAGGGCTTACACAGTTTCGGGTCAATACCCAAAATGCCAGTCAATACCTGGTGTGACCACCATTAGTCTTGATCACTGCCACACATCTCCTGTACATTGAGTTGATCAGACGATTTGTGAAGGTTCTAGGGATCCTCCTGCACACATCCAGAGCAGCTGTGCGTAGTTCATCGGCAGTTGTAGGGACTGGGCGCACATTGTGCAGACGCCTTTGAACCTCATCCCACAAGTGTTCGATGGGGTTCAGATCAGGGCTGAGGGCTGGCCACGGTAGAACACGGATGTTGTTTTGTTGCAGAAAGGCCATGGTAGCTCTGGCGACATTGGGACGAGCGTTGTCCTGCTGGAAAATGTGTTGTTGTTGCTGTGCAAAAAATGGAACAACGTTGGGTCTGATCACTTGGTCGATATACCGCTGAGCAGTGACGCCGTGTCCCCGACCTTGACCAACATTCAGAAAGCACATGGGTCCAAGTCTCGCATTAAGTCCAATCCCTGCCAATATCATGACGCTAGGCCCACCCCATGGATCCCTTTCCACAACATTTCTGTCAGCGAAACGATCACCTCGACGCCGCCACATTTTGACTCTTCCGTCTGCATGGGAGACACAAAAGCGACTTTCATCAGAGAAGATGACACGCCTCCACTCACGATGACGCCAATTGTGATGACCCTGTGCCCACTGAAGTCGTGCTTGTTGATGCCGTGGTTGGAGAACAGGACGACGTGCTGGTCGGCGACATCTGAGGTTGTTGGAACTGAGACGTCAGATCACAGTGTCCCGACTAATGTGTTGATTACGTGTTCCTATGGTCTGTCGAGCACTTTCACTTGCAGTTAGGAACGGATGTTGCTGGTGTTGACGGGTAATCTGCCGATCTTGTCGAGGTGTGGTGACCCTTGGACGACCGCTCCGAGGAAGGTCATCTGTGGTCTGTGTAACATTGTATCGATGCAGGAGACGGTAAATTGTGGTTATGTTAACGTTGAAATGACGGGCAACATCTTGGACAGACTCTCCAGTTTCCAAACGTCCGATAGCCTGGTTTCTCTGAATTTGAGTTAGGCGTGGCATTGTTGACCAAGGAGTGGTAGGTCCAAGAAACGGCAACTGTTTTATACCCACTACAGTTTGTGACAGTTCGTGCACCTTCGATTTCACGAGAAATGGGTGCTTGATACCCACATATTCATTGAAATTGTGCGTTTTGGCAATTCGTTTTTTATGTTGCGTTTTTACACGGGTCTTCCAAAATGCAACCAAAAATATTGATAACACCATCAGGCTTCACTACATGCTAAAACTCGTATCAATTAATGGTTCCGTGTTTGTTACCTATTTGCTTAAAACCACTTGCGTTTCTTTTGTGTGTGAGTATACTTCACTTTATTAATGCGCGCAAGGAACATTTGCAGTTTTCGCATTAATGTCATGATTTACATCATTTCCAATGGTTATGGACACATGAATTGATTTGTACAGCTTTTGGTCTCTGACAATAACAGCAATCAGTGCTGTATGGTGTAGTATATCACGGCCAGACACTGACCATGTACAGTGTAGTATATCACGGCCAGACACTGACCATGTATGGTGTAGTATATCATGGCCAGACACTGACCATGTACAGTTTAGTATATCACGGCCAGACACTGACCATGTACGGTGTAGTATATCACGGCCAGACACTGACCATGTATGGTGTAGTATATCATGGCCAGACACTGACCATGTATGGTGTAGTATATCATGGCCAGATACTGACCATGTACAGTGTAGTATATCACGGCCAGACACTGACCATGTATGGTGTAGGATATCATCGCCAGACACTGACCATGTATGGTGTAGTATATCATGGCCAGATACTGACCATGTATGGTGTAGTATATCACGGCCAGACACTGACCATGTATGGTGTAGGATATCATCGCCAGACACTGACCATGTATGGTATAGTATATCATGGCCAGATACTGACCATGTACGGTGTAGTATATCACGGCCAGACACTGACCATGTATGGTGTAGGATATCATCGCCAGACACTGACCATGTATGGTGTAGGATATCATGGCCAGACACTGACCATGTAAGGTGTAGTATATCATGGCCAGATACTGACCATGTACAAGCCGGCCAGTCCTTGTTTTAGCCCCTTAATGCCGAGCGCCAGACAGGGTAACAACAAGTACCATCTTTTAATGTCTTTTGGTATGACCCGGACGGCGATCAAACCCCGGACCTTCCACTCTCTGGGCGGACGCTTTTCCATGCAGGTAGTCTCTGCATTAAGGGGCCGGAGTCAGTATACTGTGAGTGGGGTATTTGTGTTAAACTGAGGCATGGTATCTCAATGGGCTAGCACTATAAAATCGTCACGTGAGCACGCACATGAGCACACGCACACGTCACTATGTAAGTGCAAAAATCTTGGGTGCAATGTTAACCTCCATTTCACCTCACCTCATAGAGTGAGAGCTAAGCTTCCTGAATGTCTGAGCTTGCAATCACATTCATCATATGATGGTTCACACAATGTGTAATACGCTTATTGATGTGTGAGTTTAATTGACACATAAGTACTGGCTAGGCCGATTGAAAAGCTTGATATCATCTGCAAAATATTTTTATTTAAATCATCCTAAAATAATATACAAAAACTACAAGGTGACATTCGAGAAATGCTATTCCATTCCATGATGATTTAACATATGTTTCCAACCTCGTGTTCCTACATGAAAACATTTAATATTTATGTGGCACAAGTCGGTCATGTCACACACAGTTACCATTGGCACTTGTGTGTGTTCTCTGATATATTTGTACAATCATATCAATTGGTTTATTAATAACAAAAGACTTCATAATTAGTATAAAAGATTTGCACTGGTAGAACATTCAAGTCGTTGATCTCCAGTTACACAGCTGATGAGCTGCTGATGCTGCGCTGTGTCCTCGCTGTGGTGTGTTCCAGCCAACACAATGCAAGAGAACATCGCCTGCATCTGTAAACAGTAAAGGAAACTTACTTTACTTCTCTTGACTATTTGAAAGATTACTTTCAACTCATAACTATCAAACTTGTCATTTCAAAACCAAACCACAGGACTACAACTACAGAAGCTCACCTTTACTCAGTGATATAACAGATACGTTAAAAGACAAACTAGAATGTGTCTCTACTAAAAAAACAATTGTCTCCCCCTCCCTGTTTTTGATACACTAGTTCAAGTTGTTACTATAAATGTGTTTGCAAATTAAAAAAACAATAATAGTAAATTATAGCCCAGAAAGATAAGGGTTTCATGCAGAAATATTCATTAGCTGTAGAGTTTTGGTAGGAAACAAACACTAGTTGTCTGAGACTAAGTCTAAATTGTTTCCATGAAAACACAAGGAAATAAATATATTAAATATTGACAAATATGAAAAGGCAGTAGTAGAGCATATGTTCACTGCACATCAATAGTTTCATGCAAAAATATTAATTTGTTTGAGGGTTATGGCTCGGAAACGAAACCTAAATGAGTCCAAATTGTTTCCACTGAAACATAAAAAAATGAAATGCCAAATAAACATTTATCCAAAATCTTAAATGGCATGAAAGTTAATTATTTGTCCATAGCAACTTTCACTATAATTCCAGACATTGTAACGAAGTAGGGAAAAGTTGTTTAACAAACTATCATGTTATTGTTGGTGTTTTAATGATGTTGTAACAAGGGGGACCCAGTACTTTCTTTTCTGTAATAAAAGCCTGTCAAATGAAATGTCTGAATCAGAAGTGTATCTTTCTGTTGAAGTTATCAAACCAAATATACAAGCGGAATCTGTAAAATGAACTATGTTGTCTTTGCCACATCAGGTTATAGCTGACATGACCTTTATCTTGACCTCTAATCACTGGTATTAGGAATAACTATTGATGTTGATTTAGATAACACTGTGAAGGATAATTATAAAATAAAGCCTGAAAAAATTGAGAGAGAAATAAACCTATGGACAGTAAGAAATTTGACTCCAATAGGTAGAAATATAGTCCTAAAAAGCCACTTATTGTCAAAATTGAATCATGTTTTTTCTTCTGTACCCAATCCTCCAAAAGATGTGATTGATACTTTTCAGAAAAGATGTTTTAAATTTGTGTGGAAGGGAAAACCGGATAAAGTGAAAAGACAAATAATGTCTCAACCACCAAAACATGGCAGAGTTAACATGCCAATTATAAGGATGTGATTGCAGCACAAAAACTTTCATGGATCAGAAGATTATATGGTAATCACTCAAAATGGACTGAGTTAGTTTCTTGCTGTATTCCAAAAAGAGAGAGATTATAGTTGCAGATGCCTCCTATGTTGATGTATTTATTACGCCAAATACCATGAATTTATTTTGGAAGGATGTTTTGGAAGCTTGTGCGATATACTTGTCAAAAAAGAAAACGAAAACTGGTCAAGATATTAGGAGACAATCTATATGGTTAAATAGTAGAATACAAACAGGAAATAGCCCAATCTTTTATAAACATTGGTCAAGCAGAGGTGTAAACTTCATTTGGGATTTAGTGGATGACAAAGGTAAAATATATGTATTTGATGCTTTTGTGCATATGTATGGAATCAAAACAAATTATATAATATTATATGGAGTTGTAAATGCAGTACCACTCAATATATCACATCTGCTAAACCAAAATATAGGTAGTAAAGAATTTTACAAGACTTTATCAGCACAGGAGTTTGTTCAAATTCATGGCACTGAAAAATGGGAAAGTATACTTAATAAGACATTTAGTGAAACAGATTGGCAAGAACGTATATTGATGGCAAAAAGATGCACTCAGAGTGAGGATATTAGATGGTTTCAGTTTAAGATTAATCACTACATTCTTACAACTAACAAATATTTATACAAAATTGGATATGTTGACTCTCCTTTGTGTACTTTCTGTACAAATCAACCTGAAACTATAATCCATATGTTATATGATTGTGAACATAAGAAATATTTGGGAGAAACTGTACATTTGGATAAAATCGGTTGTGGAAGGAACCATTGATTTGAACAGAGAAAATGTTTTTAAGTTTTTCAAGGCTAACATAACAACCCATTGAATAGTGTACTTTTAATAACAAAACAAGTAAGAGGCAAAGATAAATGCCACATTTTGAACACATACAGCATGAGATATATTTAGTTATTACAATGCTACAAAGGTAATGTCATTTACAAATTGTAACTATGCAAACTTTTTAAGTTTCTGGTCTTCCTTCCACACTTTGTTTAAAAACCAATGTGTAATACACACTGATACAGTTTGTTGACTTTACAGGCAAGAATTTATATGTATGAAAAGCTGTACATTTCTTGAATACCATGTACCACTAATTTATTGACATGACATGTATATATATGCTGTACCTGCTGAGATGAATAAAGAAGGAAAAAAAAAATAAGGAAAAAAATATAAATAATCTTATGTCCCAAAGATGTCCATGCACTGCATGTTTTATAATAAGAGCTCAAATTCAGGCAAAACCTTAAAGCATTCCAGATTGCATGAGGCTGGTTAATGAGCTGCTTCGGTGGCCATTTTGACTTTTCTGAAACTCCCCTGGCAATATAATAAGCAGTGAGTGAGTAAGTGAGTGATTTGGATTTAATGCCGCTTTTAACAGTATTACAGTTATATCGTGGCATGTCAGCTTAATGTGGGAGGAAAGCCCAAAGCGATGCAAGTCTCAGATGTTTAATACTTTGGTGAAACCCACAAGCATGGGTATTGTGCTGGCAAACCTAGAAACATAATCAGGACAAACCGGGGATTCAAACCCGCAATCACTGGTTTCTGGGAAAGCCCAAGGGATGCAACTCTGCACAGCAAATTACAGCACCTTAGACAAATGGCATCAGGATATTACATGACTTTATCAACACTTGACAGGACATTCGTCCATATGATTACCAAATGTGTGTAAAATGTTCATGACATTTTGAAATATATTCAGCTGATGTCCTAGAATATGAACTGATCTGAATCTCTGCTAAAGATATATAGTCAATAGGTTCAACAGCCTAAATGTCTCAGAACATCAGTTGACATCAGAATGAATATTCAAATAATTTCTCTATAGATGTTCAGGATGGAAGAAGAAACACAGGGCAAGTAGCTACATTTCAGCATTTCTTATGAGGGATGGCTGGAAACTGTCTTGGACTGGTTGCTAATTATTTTTCCACATAATCCCTTCCGAGGTCAACCCACTTCAGCCAACAATGCTGGAGTGCCTGGCTCTCACGGGCATTCTCCTGGTGGTGTACAAAGTCCTCCACAGTAAAAATGAAGGCATCATCAGTTGCATAATGCTTGCCAGACATTTCTTCAAGTTTTGGAAGAGGTGGAAATCTCAAGGTGCTAAATCTGGTGTATACGAGGGTGTTTTGTAAGTTCAAAGCCAAAGTCAGGATTGCAGCCATGGTGACAACAGATCTGTGCGCAGGTGCAATGTCCTGGTGTAACAACACACCATAAGTGAGTTTTCCACTACATTTAAGCAGATTAGAATAATATTAGCCATTAATGGTCTGACCTTTGGGAGGTAATCCACAAGTAGGATTCCTTTGGAATCTGAATAACTGAAGCCATCGCCTTGCCAGCTGATGGAACAGATTTTGCCTTCTCCTTCTTCAGAGATGTTAGAAGATGACTGTTGTTTAGTTTCTGATAGTGGTAAACCCAGACTAATTCATGGTTGCAAATTGATCAATAACATAAACTGTGTCTTCAAAACAACAAAAATTCAAATCACGTAAATTCTCACCAGATGATGAATCTGGTGTGTTTCTGATCAGGAGTCAGAAGTCTTGGAACCCAGTGTGCACAGTTAATTCATCAGAACGTTCTTAACATTGTTCTGTATTTGGCTATGATGTGTGGTTGAGTCATTGTCCATCCATACCGGTAATCATATCATGTATTTTATGAACAGTTTCCTTGGTGGTGGTCTTCATGATCTTTGGTCAACTTGCTTTTTCAAAGTGGGGAACCCCACTGCCCACCTCCCACATCTAAACAGTGGCCAAGTTAAAAGAACATCATCCCCTTTCAGTTGGAGATAGTGTGGTTGCCAATTTTAGCCATTTTCATCAATGTCACATACTTAGCCACTTTGATGCCTGCAGAAATATGATCCCGGATTGTGTATTGGGTTTATATGGGGGGACATATTGTACTTAAGGGTGTACTATACTTCCTTTGTAGTCTGACTCAGATAAATAAATGGTCTGTAAACAATTGATCCTGGACCAAACCTCGAGTTTAAATTTTTACCAAGTAGCCATTTGGCTACTAGTATTTTTTTCCAGGTAGCCAGTGGTAACATCAAGAAGTCAAGCCAATATTGTAGGTAGCCAAAAGTATTTGAAATTATGTTTTATTAAATAACTATTATATGTACACTAGTAGCACTAGTCTTGGAATTGTATACATGCAATACATGCGGTATTTGAGTTTTGTTATTTGTGACTCAAACAATGATGCAATTTATGTTACTAGATTATACAGGTATATCCTTGCTTATCCAATAAACTATCAACTAAAATAAAATACTAGTTACATTACTATTTATGCATTTCAGGTTCATTGTTGATTTTAGGAGGAATTATTTGTCTTCATATGTTTAGCAATAGAATTTAGTCGCCACAAGATATTATTGAAGGTAGTAATATAGCTACCTCAGAATTTTAGACAGTAGACAAATTGAAATTTAGGTCGCATTGGCCACCGTTTTAGTCGTAACTCTGAGGCCTTGATCATTGATCTACACAATTGAGTTCAAATTCGGTGAACCAGGCTAATTCCCTGGGGATGAAATAGTGTATGCCAAACCGGCACAGGGAAACAAATGTGGGTGTGGCTTAAAAAAATGTTTCTAACGTTCATTGGGAAATGAATGCAATAAGATATATACCAAATGAGCTAATCAGAATGCAGGAATTACAATGA